GTAAACGTCAACATTCCATTTGCCATCCTAACTGCTGCATACTAACTTCGTGATTCACCCGAACAGCCAAATCCCTTTTGTGCTACCAAGTTTTGCAATCTCTCTCCATTCAAAGAATATACTGCCTTTTAAATCTTTCTGCCCAAGTGGACAAGTTCACATTTTCCCAAATTATACTCCATCTGTCAATACTTTGTCCATTTGCTAAACCCATCATTATTCCTTTGCAGACTCTTATCTTCTCTTGACCATGTACTTTCCAGCTATCTTGGTGTTATTGACAAATTTAGCCACCAGTAGATTCATTCCCTTCATCAAAGTCATTGATAGAGACTTGTCAGTAGGTGAGGCCACAGCACTGATCCCTGTGGCACTCCACCAGTTACACTTTGCTAACCTGAAAAAGATCCGTTGATTACTGTTCTTTGCTTCCAGCTAACGTGAGTTTTTTTTTTTTTGTGCAGTCCTCTCATTTTCCTCTTCCAAATTTGAGTGCTATTTAATTTGAAAACACTTCATGTAATGGCCCAAATAACTTAGAATAGTCAACATCGATAGGGAAAAGGTGCTCACCAAATTATTAAGATTGAGGGCAGATAAGTCCCCGGGCCTGAAGGCCTACATCCTAGGGTATTAAAGGAAGTGGCGGCAGAGATAGTGGATCCATTGCTTACAATATCCCAAAATTCCTTGGACATGGGGAAAAGTTCCAGTAAATGGGAAAAATGCTAATGTAATGCTCTTATTCAAAAAGAGAGCGAGGCAATATCTGGGAAATTACAGATCAGTTAGTTTAATATCTGTTGGCAAAGTGTTAGAATCAGTCATCAAGGAAGTAATATCGGGTCAGTTGGAAAGTCAAAATGCTAACCATCAGAGCCAGCATGGTTTTATGAAGGGCAGATCATGTTTGATTAATTTGCAAGAGTTCTTCAAAGATGTAACAAGCAAAGTGGATAATGGGGATGCTGTAGATGTATTATATCTGGACTTCAGGAAGGCGTTTGATGAGGTGCTGCACTAAGGGTTAATTCACAAGGTTGGATCATATGGGATTTGGGATAGTTTTTTTAGCTTGGATAGGTGACTGGCTGATGGACAGAAGACAGATAGTTGGGATAAATGTTTTCTTTTTCTGGATGGCAAGAAGTAACTAGTGGGGTGCCACAGGGTTAGGCCCCTAGACCCCAGCTTCTTACAATCTACATTAGATACAGGGACAGAGGGCTCAATAGTCAAATTCCCAGACGACATAAAAATAGGCAGATTTGTGGACGACACAAAAATAGGTCGGACGGTAAATAGCAATGAGGATAAAGAACCTTACAATTGAATATAGATGGTTAGCAGAGTGGGCCAAAATGTGGCAGATGGATTTTAACATAGATGTGCGAGGCCATGCATTTTGGTTGGAAAAGTGGGAAGGTGATCTATTATCTAAATGGGGAGAGACTTTGGGGTGCTCTGGTGCAGAGGGATCTGGGTGTCCTCATTCATGAGTTGCAGAAAACTAGCATGCAGGTACAGCAGATAATAAAGAAAGCAAATGGAATGTTGGCTTTTATAGCTAAAGGAATAGAATATAAAGGTAAGGAAGTAGTGTTGCAAGTATACAAGGCATTGGTGAGACCGCACCTGGAGTATTGTGCACAGTTTTGGTCCCCTTATTTGAGGAAAGATATAGTGGCATTGGAGGAGATTCACTAGATTGATCCCAGAGATGAGGGACTCGTCGTATGAAGAGAGATTGAGTAGTTTAGGCCTATACTTTCTGTAAGTTAGAAGAAGAAGGGGAGATCAAGTTGAAGTATTCAAGATGATAAAAGGTACAGATAAAATAGACGTGGAACGGATGCTTTCTGTTGTGGGGCATTCTAGGATGAGGGATCATAGTCTTAGGATAAGGGGGAGCAAATTTAAAATAGAGTTGAGGAGAAACTGCTTCTCCCAAAGGGTTGTGAATCTGTGGAAATCACTACCCCAAAGAGTGGTGGATGCAGGGACAGTGAATACATTTAAGGAGGGGTTAGACAGATGTTTAATTGGTAATGGGTTGAAGGGTTATGGGGAGAAGGCAGGAAAATGGGGATGAGGAGCATATCGGCCATGATCAAATGGCAGAGCAGACTTCGATGGGCTGACTGGCCTAATTCTGCCCCAGTTTCTTATGAATGTATGAACTCTTCAGATGATTTCAGGATAAAAATGTGTTTGATGATCAGCATAATAGAACTAAATATGCATATGAGATTTTTTTTAAAAGGTACTTCTGTTTAGGGTCTGCCTTTAGTTTAAGGTAAACTGGAGGTGTCATGTGGTCTGTTCTGCAGTCTGCCTGACAGAAACCTGGATGGTTTGATTGTTGAGGATTGTTTAAGTGGGAAGAATGTACGAGGTATTTATGCTTAAAAACAATGGTTGCAACCGATGTTCTAACAGCAGATAGATTGGGTGTTGCCAAAGACCCAGAAAAATGTTGAGGATCAGGTAAAATGCAGCTGGACTAGGGCATTCCAAAGTGGTGTTTGGCACTCCAAGTGGTGTTGCCAGCTGAAGCTCCAAGGTAACAGTGACCACAGGAGAGCTTTGAATTCTAACAGCTACCCTCCAGCTGTAGCATACAGCCTCTATAGGCGTCACTGAGAGGATGGGACTGTTTTCAAGCCTCAAAATGGGATCACGGTGGGGAGAAAAGTTTGGGAAGCCCTGAATTAGAGCCCAAAAGTCTCTGTTGTTGTCTGTTGGAATGTGGTTGGAAGCTCAGGCTCTGAAGACACCAAATTCATTGGGATTTAAAATGAGGCCAGAATATTTGCCTAGCTTTAGCTGAAGGGAGAAGTTTCTACGAAAACTTGCAACAGAAAGAGCAGTTCTGGAGTTAAAAGCTTTCAGGTGGGAAAAGGAAGATCAGAAGTAAACCATCAGGAACAAAGAATTATTTGGACTGTATCTGAGTGAATTGAATGTTTACTTGAAGGACATGTTAACATATAACTGTGAAGTTTGCAGATTGGAAAACAGCCAATGTGACACCACTGTTTAAAAAAGGAAGTACACAGAAAGCAGGTAACTAAAGGATTCTCCAGCATCTGCAGTTCCTACTATCTCTAACTAAAGGCCAGTTAGCTTAACTTCGGTAGTGGGGAAAATGCTTGAATCTATCATTAAGGAAGAAATAGCAAGACATCTGGATATAAATTGTCCCATTGGGAACACCCAGCATGGGTTCATGAAGGGTAGGTCATGTTTAACTAATTTGGTGGAATTTTTTGAGGACATTACTTGCATGGTGGACAATGGGGAACCTGTGGATGTGGTGTATCTGGATTTCCAGAAGGCATTTGACAAGGTGCCACACCAAAGGCTGCTACATGAGATAAAGTTGCATGGTATTACAGGTAATGTATTGGCATGGATAGAGGATTGGTTGACCAGTAGAAAGCAAAGAGTAGGGGTAAATGGGTGTTTTTCTGGTTGGCGGCCAGTGGCTAGTGGTGTGCCTCAGGGATCAGTGTTGGGACCGCAATTGTTTACAATTTACATAGATGATTTGGAGTTGGGAGGTAAGTGTGGTGTGTCAAAATTTGCAGATGACTCTAAGATGAGTGGTAGAGCAAAGTGTGCAGAAGACACTGAAAGTCTACAGAGGGATATAGACAGTCTAAGTGAGTGGGCAAAGGTCTGGCAGATGGAGTACAATGTTGATAAGGGAGGTCATCCATTTTGGTAGGAATAACAGCAAAATGTACTATGTTTTAAATGGTAAAAAATTGGGTGTCCTTGTACATGAATCACTAAAAGTAGGATTGCAGGTGCAGCAGGTAATTAAAAAGGCAAATGGAATTTTGTCTGCCATTGCTAGAGGGATGGAGTTTAAAAACGGAGGCTATGCTGCAGCTGTATAGGGTCCTGGTGAGGCCACACCTGGAGTACTGTGTGCAGTTTTGGTCTCCTTACTTGAGAAGGGATATACTAGCACTGGAGGGGGTGCAGAGGAGATTCACTTGGTTGATTCCAGAGTTGGGAGGGTTGGATTAGGAGGAGAGACGGAGTAGACTGGGATTATACTCATTGGAATTCAGAAGAATGAGGGGAGATCTTATAGAAACATATAAGATTATGAAGGGAATAGATAAGGTGGAGGCAGGGAGGTTGTTTCCGCTAGCAGGTGAAACTAGGACTAGAGGGCATCGCCTCAAAATAAAGGGAAGCAGATGTAGGACTGGGGTCAGGAGGGACTTCTTCACCCAAAGGGTTGTGAATCTGTGGAATTCCCTGCCCAGTGAAGCGGTTGAAGCTACCTCGCTGAATGTTTTTAAAGCAAGGCTAGATAAATTTTTGAACAGTAAATGAATTAAGGGTTATGGTGAGCAGGCGGGTAAGTGGAGCTGAGTCTCAAAAAGATCAGCCATGATCTTATTAAATGGCGGGGCAGGCTCGAGGGGCCAGATGGCCTACTCCTGCTCCTAGTTCTTTTGTTCTTGTGTTCTTATGTTTGCTTTCTTTCAGTTGTGCTAATAATAAAAAGGGGGGTGAGTGGGGGAGTGATATTCTCTTCCATGGTTTAAAATACATTAACCAGTTAAGAAGGTAGCTTTTAGTGAATAGTACTTTTAATCATGTGTTACCTTAATTGGCTTAAAATGCAAAAGCTTATGTCATTGTTTTGAGCCATTAACTGGAAATTTATGTGTCGTCTTTTCTCCATGGTGATTATATCAGCATCTTGAAAGTATTCACTGAAGGAGAGTATCATGGTTATGCCAGCCATCATAGCAGATGCTACAACTAACCAATAACTTGCATAATATCTGCATGGATGTCCAAGAGTGGTTTAATGGCTGAAAGAAGTAAATCAACATGGACAGATGCTGTGTACGTAAGGACGTTAAGGGAGATGAGTGAAATCTGTAAAACACTAAGAGTTATCATGAAGGAGTCAATGGATTGGAAACCAGTAAATGTGACTTCAGTTTTCATGAAGGGGATTAAAAATCATGAAAAACTCCACATCCTGCAGTCTAACATGAATACCTGGTAAAATAATAGAATTGATAATTAGAAATGTTGAAGATTACTTATGTGGAAGTAAGAGTCTGTCACTAAACTGAAACCATTTTTTCAGCTACTATCACTGTTTGTACCTTTCTCGTTGTTCACCATGTAAACCTCTCCCTTCCCCTCCACAAAGCTCTTCCCTGTACTGTCCCTAATTCCTTAGTTTCTTTCCTAATTCCAGCTTTTATATCCTCTTCAAGCTGACTTCATCTGTTAGACCCACTTCCTATTTCCCTGACCCTGAAATCTCTTATCCCATACCAAGTTTTGCTCATCCTTCACTCCTGTCCTTGTTGATGTACATTAACTCTTATGATTTCAATACCTTCAGACTGTGGATAATCATCCTTGTCTTTAATCTGATCTTGGCTTTACCAATCCTATTTCTGAAACCCAGTCTTGCCTCGCACTTGCCCCTCCCTTAAATGTTCTTGTGCTTCCTTCTTTAACTGCACTATTGTCAGCCATGATTTCAACTGCTTAAGCTCCATAGTCTGGAATCCTCCCCTGTCCCTCCTCCAGCCCCTCCTGCCCAAAAATAACTCGTATCTCCTTAATTCCACTTTACCTCTGTGACAAAGCTTTTGGTTATCTCTCTGATACCTTCATCTGTCTGGGGGATATATTTTTGTTTGATTATGGTTTTGTGAAGAAACTTGAGGGCATTCCCCTACTTTAAGGATATATGTGTGATGTATATGGCATTGCTTCCAGTGCATAAATACTCCTCCTGTGCCTCAGTTGTTATAGCTGAGATATGGACTGACCAGGGTTCTGCACAGCTTCAGGTGAGTGAGGTACTGGAGAGAAGCTGATGGCAGGGAAGAGAAGGATATTGACCTTCATACAATGTTGGATTTTCCTCCAACACAGGTGTTGACCTCAGATCAGGCTGGCATGGCCTAGTGTCGGGGTCTCCACTGCTGCTCCTGGCAAAGCAGGAAAACCTGTGTTGATGCCACCCCATATAGCAGCACTTCCAAGACCTGCCCAAAAAGAAGGGCACCAGTTTCCCCCATTTGCCATGTCCAGGGCATCACAGGACAGATGGTGCTTGTCCACGTGTATCATGCGATTTTGAAGATGGCACGGCTGCAAGGTATTGGTGAATCCTGAAATATCTGCTGCGTGGTAGGTTGTTCCGGGAATGGTGTGTGGTAAGATGGGATAGAATTCTGATTGAGGGATGCTGTAGGAGTGTGGTAGCTAATTAATGAGGCGAAAGTAGAAGTTGCTGGAAAAGCTCAGCAGGTCTGGTATCCTTCTTAATTTACAGCGTATGCAATTCTTTTGGTTTTTAATTAATGAGGTGAGTTTGGTGAAACAAGCAGAAGGAGATGAATTCTCAAGATTTCATCACGACAAATCCTCCAAAAATTGAGGCAAAACTCTGACTTAGCCGAAAATAGTGTAAAAATCCAATCCTGTGTCTGTAATTCTGCTATTTTTTTGATTGCTGCATTGCAATGACTGGATGTAGTCTGTGTTGAATTTACAGAAGGACCAATTAGCACGTTCCAACAAACCTGTTACACAAAGTCCCTTGGGTGGCTGCAATTGCAACAGTGAATTTGAGCCATTGGCTGTCTCCTTCCCCTATTCTGAGCGTTTTGGCCGCTAATTTAAGCCACTTGATTTCTCGTAAAGAATTACAAATAATGAATTCTACCATTGATTTGCAGTGTCTTTTAAAAGTTCTTTCCCATCGTATCTTTTTTTATAAATGCCATATTGTAGATTACACTATAACCTCAACTTGTGTAACTATCTGTAAGCCCAAGAAGTCAAGCTGTACTTTAGTGAACCAGGGACATGAATGTAACATGTTTCAACCAGAAGAATAATAGAGAACTGTGAAACCTATTTGTTAGTTGTACAGACATAAACGTGGTCATTATTTTGAAGACTGTGGGGTGTGAGGAAAGGGAATCTTGGTATAATTATGATATGGTTAGAAAAAGGTAAACAAATCTGCCACATTAGTCGCTGTGTTATCGTAACATTTTCTGCCGATGGGAAATTAATTCAATTGTAGTTCTTGTTGATTGCTACCTTAACTAGCAGAGGTAATCCACATAACTTGTGCAGATAACATGATCTCCCACTTGTGACCAGATGGTTAAGGTAGATGGCACCAACAGGTGAAATGCAGCAGAAATATAAGTTCTTTCCAAAAAGATTACAAAATGATAACGTGTTATACCTGAGCACAAAGCAAAAGATGTCTGCCTTTGAGAGTTATTAATGTGATTATTCCCGTAAAGGTTAAGTTTCCACAGTAACAACAATGCCAAATGTGCATCAGTGATGGTCTAAAACATGGCTACAAAGAGTAAATCAACACACTGGAGTGCCAGAGGCCGAGTTAAATGTACAAGGAAAACATTGTCACAGTTTGAAGATTGGATCTAATACCTAGTTTGAATCTGGTAAGTACTACATTATTTTAACAAATCCATGTTTTGTTATTTCAGTTACCACATAGTGTCCGGTGTTTCTGTCCAACAAAAAACGCAAATTTTTTCACATATATTAACGTTTTAACTGGTCCAAAATGTGATTTCAACTTTCAGCTTCTCTAAAGTTCCTATAATGGAGGAATAACTATTTCCTTTCACACCTTCCTAGATGATTCTACTAGATCTGTAACGTCGGTGCCACAGTTTGAAGAACCTAGCATGGATGAGGAAGGCCTAGGCACCAAAGAGATGGGGAAAGGATCCTACAGTTACATAACAGAAAGTCTCCCATATGTGGAAATATCCTTTGGGGGAAACTTGTAAAAGGCCACGAATCCCTTAAAATGTGCAGTTCATGCCCTTTTACCCCTTTCATCGCAAGATCAATATGTACACAAGAGAGACTTAAATCTGTATTTCACACCTGATTTTGTATTGCATGATCATTCAGTTGGGGCAATTGAGATTTTTCTGGATGGAAGATTGGCTGATTGGCATTCATCACCTATATTTCTAAATTCTAAACAAAACAAAATATGAATTTACAGGAAAAATCAAATTTTAATGAGAGGATTTATCTTTCTCCAAATTAATATCATACAGTTAAATATATAATTCAACTTTGACTGTTTAACTGATTTATTTTGGTCAAATAATTCTTGTGCTTTTTTGGTTTTCAAGTAATGTTAATTTAACTTCATTCAGTTTGCATTAAATGTAATATTTTTACCATTGTCAAGTTTTCTCTAATATCAACCACTCCTCCTATGTCCCACTTTGATGCTAATCTTCATTCCTTCATATTTTATATTAACTGCAGATACCCCAATGTTACCTAAATGAACTTTTTCCTCAAGTGCATGTTTTATGATTTGTATTGTGTTGCCTCGCCAATTCTTAAAATAAAAGTTTCTTTAACCGTTGAGTCATGTGTCATTCATATTGAAATAATTTTTCTGTTTTTTTTAGCCACCCAATTGTACTGTACGAAATCTTTCTGATTTCCCTAGCAGTTTCTGTGATATAAATGCATGCATGTAATTGTGAAGGATCCATAAATCGAGTATTTCAGTTGAAAAAAAACATGCTTTGTCAAAGCTTTTAGTCTTACAGTCATCAGGACAATTCGCAATAAATACCAAAGCGAGCAGAAGATAATAGTTAAAACTTATGAGAGGCGAGTGTATGGTTGGCAAGTGGACTCTGAGGCATTGCCATGGAACAAGAATATGTATGCATTCTGCACTTATCCAAACTTCACAAAATAGGTGACAGCTGTTCTTTTGTTCACTTTTCAGGGCAGTGCTTTAACCAATCAATAAATCTGCACGGTTTAAAATGTAAACAAAGCTTGGCAGTTAACTGTCAGTCATCATAACTGTTGTATAGTCAATGCTAGCATCTCCATCAGTCAGAGTTCTCTTCCAACCCATCAGCATTCTCCTTATTTAATATTTTCTTCCTCTATTTTGGATTTTTTTTTAATTGACCTGATGAAAGGCTTCAACTAACTGTGTCTCTTTTCAGTAGTACCCAAGTTCTATACTACTAAATGACTGCTTGCATCTATAAGTTTTCAGTAATATCAGGTGTGTAGCAAATCTAGTGTCATTACACCTATATTGGTTAGCCCAGTATAATTTAGAAAAAAAAATTAGTATATGTGAAGGCTTGACATACTGCATACCGTTCATCACTTTCCATATTGTGATTTAAATGTACGATTAAGAACTGGCAGATTCTTAAACTGACTTGCCATGTTAATTTCAGTTGTTAATCAGTGATTAACTCTGTGGGATAGTTTATTGAGAACATTAAAACACATAGTAAGTTATGAAGTAGGCATTGTAACTGATTTCTGTATGCACAGCTTGCAATTACCCATAGCAGACCAATTGGCAGGTGGAATTACAACATTGTGTACACACAGCACAGGAAGCCCCAAAAGATCAACTCTCTGAAAGGCAAGTTACATGTACAACAAAATATATTGCATGCCTTTCAAACCTTCAACATTCATTTAACCTAATTGGTCCTTCTTAAGGAATTTATTTCAACAGCACATGTTCAGTTTCTGTGCTGGCTGAGGTTACAGTGAAGGTTCTGCCTTCTTGCTGAGGTCCCTTGCCTGAGGTGTGGTGATTCTCAGGTTAAACTCCCCACAAGTTGTTTCTTTCTGGTGAGAGAGCAGCCCTATGGTCCTCTGTGACAGTGGCGATCTACTTCAACTGGTAAAGTCCCAGGAATGTGTTAAGGGATGAGGAATGTCCTAAGGACAGAAACCTGCATGAATTCTGAGAATTGAATTTCAGATCTGTTTTAATTCTTGAAGTATTTTAATTAGACCAACATGTCAGTAGTGCAGCCTCATTTTCAGACAAATCACCTGACATAAAATTGGATGGACTGCGGATTAATTTTAACAATCTACATCGGTATCCAACAAAGCTCCAGTTATTTTTTTGAGGCCCTGCAGAGTCATTTTGACTAATGATAACAAACTTAATGCTGTGCTGCACTTAACCCACTCCAAGTCTTTGGATCTGAGCTTTCTTAGATGTAATTTGGGTACACAACCCTCTTTATGATTCGACAGTTTCACAGATTAGGTAGGAAGAGAGATAAGTGTCAACAGTTTGTGGTTTTTTTTCCTCAATTGGTCCTTCATCTGAAAAGACATAAATTTAGAATTTTGCGTTAAGCATTGAGAATATATTCTCAATCAGAGATAGAAGGAACTGCAGATGCTGATATATTTGTGTTGGTTTATTAGTTTTGGTTAAATTTCACAAGGTACCCTTCTTCATATTTTCCGAGCTATTTTTGTGTCAGTGCAGTCACACTACAGTAGTTGTCCTCTGTTGTGCTAGAAATTTTAAAACTTATATTCAGCTGGCTGATAACTATATTTCTGCCCTGTTTGTCTATCCTTGTGTTTGAATTTGACCTGAGACTTATCTGGAACAGCAACATAAATGAGGTGGACATTACAGCAGATGAGAGGCTGGGTATTCTCGGCGAGTAGCTCTCCTGCTTAGAAAAGCCTCTATATCATTTGTAACGCATGATCAGAGAAGAGTATGCTGAAATACTCTTTGCTTGTCTGGATAGAGGCAGCTGCATCAAACTGGAGAATGCAGTCCACTTGAATGTCTCCCTCAATCACCAACTTAAGTATCTATTTCTTCTGCCACAGTGGCTGCAATGTGTAGCACCTACAACGTGCCATGCACAGTCACTGCTCTGATAGCTGAGATCCAAATATGATTAGTGCGTGTAGAAGGCCATAGGAAGGAGTGGCACAGTTACACCTTGCACCTGCAAGTTCCACTCCAAGTGCCCCACCATTCGACTTGGAACTATATCACTTGTTCTTTCATTGTTGTTGGGTCGAAACCTGGAACTACCTCCTCACCAGCTCTGTGTGAGTGCAACCTCAGATTGTAGTGGTTCAAGAAGGTGGCCTGCCACCCCACTCTGAGGAGAAGTTAGGAAGACCATTGGAGAAATTCTAGCATTTCTACAAGAAATGAAATTTTAAGTGAAGATGTTGAATCCCAGTCATTGTAGATCAGGCATGATTTGTAATTTAACAATAGAAACGTTGGAATATGTGTAGTGAGTACTTTGCCCATGTATCATAGATTTGGGCAGCCTGAGCATCAGTACTGAAAGGAGTCACTTTTGGCTGCTTTTTGAAAAAACACAAAAACAATTTAATGTAATAGCTTTGTGAAACTAAAATGAAGCTCTGACCACACCCACCCCCAATACCAACTTGTAGGATATTTAGAAGCAAGTCACACTGGGATAATCACTTGGTGCCTGAAGCTCATTTGTTACAAAAATATAGCTCAGGCCTGAAAATGGCGCTCTCCTTTTCAATCCCAGAACACTAGTGTTTTGGATAGTGTCATTTATGGAATCCAGTCCAACTGAGGTGCCTAGACAGTGATCAGTGTGACCATGTATTTAGAGCTCACTTGAGTTTCATATCTGCTGCTTTGCTGAGATAGAGTAGCTCAGCACAAAACAGGAATCAAACCTAGGACACCACCATACCAATAGTGAAATTTCCGAATCAGCTAGGCAGCGTCTCATCGTGGCTTTAGAATTTTTTTTTGTAATAATCCATGTTTTACCTTTGACATGGTGGTTGTATTTCTGTTTTAACGATGCAAACATAGTTTCATTGCTGACGACAAACTGCAATGGTTTTTGACATTTGGCTAAGTTTAAGACAGCAGTGAATTGTCAGCCTAGTTAGACAGGTACTGCATTCCAACTACTACATTGTGCTCAATGGCCCCCTGACTCATCCACTGTCAGTGCTGCACAAAATGAGGCTTTCGGATTCTATTAGGTTGCTATTTCTTGGAATAAGTCAATTTATTTACCGAATAGAAACTTAATTTAGGCGTTCTATGCAGGTTTAAAAAGAATACGCAGGATTTTCTATCAATTTGGACAAAATTTATTTGTTTTTCAATTAAATCTGCTTGATGTTCTGTATTTGATGTAAATTAACAGACTCATTGAAAGTATTAATCAATAAATCTATGAAGTTTTCAAGAATTGTCATTCTAATAGAATTCCTGAAGTGACTCCAGAATCAAAGCAATTCCTCATGTAGAATAATTCATCAACTGATTAGTTTTTCTTCACAGTAGTCTTTTTCTGTTGAATCTAAAGCAATTGTATCACAAATATGTTTCTCTTAATGTTACCTTTGCTGAGCATATTGATTGTTGCTCGAATTCAATTCTGTCAATGGCAGGTATCCTCCAGACAAATCATACCTTACATAAGTACATCAGGGTAATAGAACAGAATGCAGAATATTATGTTGCAGCTATAGAGATGGTGCAGAGAAAAATCGACCCTAATACAAGAGAGGTCCACTCATAAGTCTGATAACAGTGGGGGGAAAAAGCTGTTCTTGAACCTGTTGATACATGTTTTCAAACTTTTGTATCATCTGCCGATGGAAGAAGGTGGCAGAGATTATAATCCGGGTGGGAGGGATCTTTGATTATGTTAGCTGCTTTCCCGAGGCAGAGGGAAGTATAGATGGAGTCAGTCGGAAGGTTTTTGTGATGGACTGGGCTGTATTCACAACTCCCTGTCATTTCTTGAGGTCTTGGCAGAGCAGTTGCCATGCTATGCTGTGATGCATCTGGATAGGTGCATCGATAAAAATTGCTAAGCGTCATTGTGAACATGCCGAATTTCCTTAGCCTTCTGAGGAGGAACAGGCATTGCTGCACTTTCTTGACTTGAGTGTCAATGTGGAAGGACCAGGATAGATTGCTGGTGATATTTACTCCTGGGAACTTGAAGCTCTCAACCACCTCCACCTCAACACCATTGATACAGACAGGGATGTGTCCTTCACTCTGCTTCCTGAAGTCGATGACCAGCTCCTTTGTTTTACTGACATTGAGAGAGAGATTGTTATCTTTACACCATGCCACCAAGCACTCAATCTCTTTCTTGTACTGTCTCATTGTTGTTTGAGTGCTAACAGAGTTCATTGAGAGACTAGTTAACAACAGAGGCACAAGAGCTGAGAGTAACTGTGCCAACATCTGCCATCTGCAACTACTGGCCATGCATTCGGGCTTGATGGGTAATACACAGGAGCAGGAAGCCATCCC